ACAACACTACAAACCAATCAGACCCAACAGGCATCCATACAACACTACAAACCAATCACACCCAACAGGCATCTATACAACACTCCACCCAACAAGAACAGGATAGAAATTCTTCAACACTCTGGGACAGAAAATATGGTACGCCAATAAAATAACTCTCAATAAAGACAGGAAATCATACAGTTATGTTCTTCAGCCATAATGGAGTGAAATAAGAAATCAGTAACAGGTCAGGCACGGTAGCCCACGTTTGTAATCCCAGCACTTTGGGAGGCTAAAGTGGCAGGATCATTTGAGCCCAGGAGTTCCAACACAGCCTGGGCAACACAGTCAGACCCTGTCTCTACAACAAAATTTTTAAAAATTTAGCTGTGTTTGGTGGCTCATGCCTGTAGTCTCAGCTACTTGGGAGGCTGAGGTGGGAGGTTGAGGATGCAGTGAGCTGTGATCACGGCGCTGCACTCCAGCCTGGGAGACAAAGTGAGATCCTGTTTCTCAAAAACAAAAAAGGAAAAGAAGTCAATAACAGAAGGAAACTTGAGAAATTCACATATATGTGGAAATTAAACAACAAACTCTTAAATAACCAAGAGGTAAAAGAAGAAATCACCAGAGAAATCAGAATATACTTTGAGATTAAAAAAAGGCAAAACACAATATACCAAAACTTAAGGGATGAAGTAAATCAGTGCTGAGATTAAAAATTTACAGCTACAAACATCTATATTAAAAAGAAAGATTTCAAATCAATAAGCTAATTTTCCATCTCAAGAAACAAGAAAAAGAAAACGAAACCCAAAGCAACCCAAAGGAAATAATAAAGGTTACAGTGGAAATTAACAAAATAAAGAATGGAAAATCATAGGGAATAACAAACAAAACCAGAAGTCGTTTCTTAAATAGATCAACAAAATTGATAAATCTTTAGCTAGACTGACTAAGGGGAGTAAAAGAGAGAAGAATCAAATTACTAAAACCAGAAAATACTATGAATAGGCTGGGAGCAACGGCTAACATCCACAATCCCAGCACTTTGGGAGGTCACGGTGGGAGGGTCGCTTGAGGCCAGGAGTTTGACAAAGATCAGCCTGGGCAACACAGCGAGATCTTGTCTCTACAAAAAAATTTTAAAGAAAATTAGGGCTGGGTGCAGTGGCTCATGCCTGTAATCCCAGCACTCTGCTAGGCTAAGACGGGAAAATTTTTTGAGGCCAGGAGTTTGAGACCAGCCTGGGCAACATAGTGAGACCCAATCTCTACCAAAAATAAGCTTTTAAAAAATTAGCCAGTCATAGTGCCATGCCCCTGAAGTCTTAGCTTCTCAGGAAGCTGAGATAGGAAGATTGCTTGAGTCTGGGAGGTCGAAGCTGTAGTGAGCCATGATTGTGCTACTGCACTCCAGCCTGGGTGACAGAGCCAGACTCTGTCCCAAACAAAACCAAACCAAACAAAGTCAGAAAATTAGCTGGATGTGGTGGTACATGCCTGTGGTCCTTCCTACTGGGGAGGCTGAGGTGGGAGGATTACTTGGGCCCATGAGTCTGAGGTTGGAGTGAGCTATGATTGCACCACTGCACTCCAGCCTGGGCAACAGAGTGAGACCTTGTCAGTTAAAAACACTTTTTTTAATGCTATGAACAATTGCATATAAACAGATTGCAACAAAGAACCTAGAAAGGGACAAACTCCTGGAAAGATGCAAACTACCGGAACTAAACAGATCTATAATAAGTGAAGATACTGAATTAGGGAAAAAAAATCCCACAAAGAAAAGTCCAGCCTTCACTGGTAAATTCTACCAAATGTTTAAATAATTAACAACAATCTTTCACAAACTCTTCCAAAAAATAGGAGTGGAGGGAACACTTCCCACCTCAATCTATGAGGTCAGTAGTGACGTTGACTAAAGTCAGACGAAGACATCACAAAAAGACTACAGACCAATATCCCTCATGAATACAGATGCAAAATCCTAGCAAACTAAATCCAGCAGCATAAAAAAAGGATTATATACCACGAACAAGTAGAATTTACCCCAGGAATGCAAGGTCGGTTCAACATATGAGAAACAATGTAATATGCCGTATCACTAGAGTAAAGGACAAGAATTATACTGTCATCTCAACACATGGAGAAAAAGCATCTGACAAAATTCAACACTTTATGACAAAAACACTCAACAAACTAGGAGGAGAAGGTAACTTCTTCAACCTGGTAGACAGCATCTACACAAAACAGCACGGTTAGCATCACGCTCAATGGTGAGAGACTGAAAGCTTCCTGCTAAGGTCAAGAGTCAGACAAGGATGTCTGTTCCCACCACATCTATTCAACATTGTCCTGGAGGTACCAGCCAGAGCAATTAGGTAAGAGAAATAAAAGAAACCCAGATTAGAAAGACAGCTGTTTGCAGATGACATGATTTTGTGTATGGAAAATCTTAAGGAACACACAACTAATTAGAATGAATAAACAAGTTCAGCAAGGAATGCAGGATACGAGATCAATACACAAAAGTCAATTGTACTTCCACATATTAGCAATGATCAGCCCTAAAATGAAATTCAGAAAACAATTACATTTATAATTGCTTTTATAAATGCAATTTATAATCTTTTAATAATTTATAATTGCATTTATAATCCTTTGGTTATAAATAAAAAAGAATAAAATATGAGTAAATTTAACAAAATAAGTGAAAGACTTATATACTGAAAACTACAAAATACTGTTGAAATAAATTTAAAAAGACCCAAATAAATGGAAAGATAATCAGAAGCTCATGACTCAGAAGATTTAATATTGAGATGGTAACACATCCCAAAGCAATCTCTAGATTTAATGTAATTCCTATCAAAATCTCAGCTGCTTTTTTTTTTTGAAGAAACTGATGAGCAGATCCTAAAATTCATTTGGAAATGCAAGGAATGCAGAATAGTCAAAACAGCCTTGAAACAGAACAAAGTAAAACTTACCACAACAAAGCAACATTGATCAAGGCACTGTGGTACCGGCATAAGGTTAAGGTCAATGGAACAGTCAAGTGCCCAGAAATAAACCTGCACATTTTTGGCCAATTGATTATAAATAAGGGTGCCAAGATAACTCAATGGGGAAAAGTAATGTTTTCAACAAACGGTGCAGAGACAACTGGATATCCACAGGCAAAAGAATGCGGGCTCTTATACCACACACAAAACTTAACTCACAACAGATCAAAGATCTACACATAAGAGCTGAAATTATAAAATGCTTATCAGAAACCAGGTGTAAATCTCTGTGATCTTGGATGAGGCGATGGCTTCTGAGATGTGACAGCAAAAGCATAAGTAACAAAAGGAAAACCCAGATAAATTGCTGGACTTCATCAAAATTAACTTTTGTGCTTCAGAGGACACTATCCAGAAAGTGAAAGGACAGGATGGAAGAGTTTTTGCAAATCGGCCGGCATGGCGGCTCACACCTGTAATCCCAGCACTTTGGAGGCCGAGGTGGGCGGATCACGAGGTCAGGAGATCAAGACCAGCCTGATCAA